TTGCAATGCTTTCTTTTTATTATTAGTTTTTTTTTATGCATGAATACGATGGCTCACTGTTCGTTGTTGGAATTACCTGCCTAAGTTTGCCAACTTTGCCAATGAAGTAATCTTTTAAATAATTGGCAACATCAAATGGTTTTGATGAATAAGCCATCTGATTCAATGAAAGATGGAGTTGAATTTGTCTTTCTGCCCATAATTTCATTTAAAGCACTCCAAAGTTTCTTGCCATCATTCTTTATATAATTGATCTTAGCTTCATAATACATTTTCTTCTTCTTTTTGTTGAGTTTAGTCACATCATTTCTCAATTTGTAGTAAGTCAGCCAGTCAGATGTGCAGCCAAACTTATTAGCCACTCCTTTTGCCCCATCTCTTTCAACCATACAGTTTTTCAATTCCTCATCAATCCACTGAGCCTTAACAGTTCTAACAGTCAATTTCTTAACAGGTGCATGTTTATCAATAATTGGAAGAAGCAATTTAATACATTCATCAAGTGCAGCATCTGGATGCTCCTTATTCGTCACATCAGACCAACAAATATTTTTAACATCATCCACATAAAAGTCACAGCAAAATCTTTTGTATGATCTCTTATACTCTATTTTAGGCCCAGTTTCGGAACTTTGGCTTTCCTGGATATAGCCACTTTATTGTGATCACTGCATCCAACGGGTACGGATACAGCCTTAGAACAAAGTTCTACAGTATTAGTAAAGATGTGATCGATAGATGTGGATGATCTTGTGTTTGTAAACACCCTGGTAGGTTGATGAATAACCTGAACCAGATTCAAGGCACTGGTTACAGTGGTCCTCTGTAGCTCAATTGGTAGAGCATGGTGCTTGTAACGCCAGGGTAGTGGGTTCGATCCCCGGGACCACCCATACGTAAAAATGTATGCACACATGACTACGTCGCTTTGGATAAAAGCGTCTGCTAAATGGCATATTATTATTATTAAAAGCTTCCTCTTGAGCAGACAGCTTGATGAAAACCAGTCAATATTCAGGTCCCCAAGAAAGTAGACCTCTCTGTTTACATCACGTACACTATCAAGCATTTCACACATATAATTTAGATACTGACTGTTAGCAATTGGTGGCCTATAGCAACACACCAAAAGAAAAGGCTTTAGATGTGCCAAGTGAACCTGCAACCTCTACACTTCAATAACATTTGACATAAGATCTTCTCTTAGTATTACAGGGATATGGCTCTGAATATATAGCAACAGCAACACCTCCTCCATAAGCATTTCTGTCTCTTCTATAGATGTTATATCCTTGTATTGCTACTGCTGTATCATCAAATGAATTATCTAAGTGAGTCCCAGAAATGGCTAATATATGAATGTTATCTGATGTTAGCAAGTTATTTATTTCATGAACCTTATTTATAAGGCTACATATAATTATATGGGCTATTTTCATCCCTTTCCTGGGTAGCTTGTCAGAGATAGACATAATATGGAAAAGAGCAAACAAAGCAAGATAAACAAATATACATTCAGCAGTCCATTAATCAATTGTTGTGTGTAAGTGTGCGTGTGTGTGCTGTGGGGTTGAAGCTACGAACCCATAGGCTTGGCTCTCTCATCCCTTCCAGGCTTCTGGGAGGGAGAGTGGACAATTAACCTGTCATAGCGGATGTAAACAATGTCCCCAGGTGCTCTGGCACCTTTCATAGCTGGGATAAGTTATTTCCTCTTCTGGCGCACATTTTCAGGATAGTCCTCGTTCAGGAAGATATACATTCCTCTCAAGTTCTTGGTTCTTTCCAGAACAGCTACCTTGTCCTTGAACCTCAGGACCTTGACCTGGGCCTGTCACCTGGGCCGGTGGTGGTCTTCCAGTTCTGTGGGTGCGCTCCACCTCAATCTTCCTGTGGTACATCTTCAATTTCTCCGAGATCATTTCCCTCACTTTGTCCTCAGACTCCGTCCAGGTCTCATGTGGAGATTCTGCAATTCCGTCCATAATCTGATTTCCCCTTCATTGTTATCATGGATTCACACACAGAACTGATTTCCTTTCTTAATGACTTACAGATTGCAGTCATCTTGCCGTTCTCCTGTTTAAACTCATCGAGCTGACCCTGGGAGAACTGCAAACTATTCTTCAGGTCCTGGACCTCTCTGGTCAGATCATCCATTCCTTTATTAGTTGACTCCACCAGTATTTGTACAAAACACTTGAAGCTATTTTCTTGTTGTTGTAACAACTGCTTGTAGAACTATTTTTGTTCGTTTAAAAGATCCTTCAGCTGTGATAGAGAGACACCACAGTCCTCAATGGTACTCCCGCCGGCTTTGGTCCTTGTCATGGTCATGCTTGGGGTCATTGTCCATTTGGAAGACCCATTTGCGACCAAGCTTTAACTTCCTGACTGATGTCTTGAGATGTTGCTTCAATATATCCACTTTCCTTCCTCATGATGCCATCTATTTTGTGAAGTGCACCAGTCCCTCCTGCAGCAAAGCACCCCCACAGCATGATGCTGCCACTCCCGTGCTTCACGGTTGGGATGGTGTTCTTCGGCTTACAAGCCACCCCCTTTTCCTCCTAACATAACGATGGTCACTATGGCCATAACAATTCTATTTTGTTTAATCAGACCAGAGGACATTTCTCCAAAAAGTACGATCTTTGTCCCCATGTGCAGTTGCAAACCGTAGTCTGGCTTTTTTATGGTGGTTTTGGAGCAGTGGGTTCTTCCTTGCTGAGCGGCCTTTCAGGTTATGTCGATATAGGACTCGTTTTACTGTGGATATATATACTTTTGTACCTGTTTCCTCCAGCATCTTCACAATGTCCTTTGCTGTTGTTCTGGGATTGATTTGCACTTTTCGCACCAAAGTACGTTCATCTCTAGGAGACAGAATGCGTCTCTTTCCTGAGCGGTATGACGGCTGCGTGGTGCCATGGTGTTTATACTTGCGTACTATTGTTTGTACAGATGAACGTGGTACCTTCAGGCATTTGGCAATTGCTCCCAAGGATGAACCAGACTTGTGGAGGTCTACACTTTTTTTTCTGAGGTCTTGGCTGATTTCTTTTGATTTTCCCATGATGTCAAGCAAAGAGGCACTGAGTTTGAAGGTAGGCCTTGAAATACATCCACAGGTACACCTCCAATTGACTCAAATGATGTCAATTAGCCTATCAGAAGCTTCTAAAGCCATGACATAATTTTCTGGAATTTTCCAAGCTGTTTAAAGGCTCAGTCAACTTAGTGTATGTAAACTTCTGACCCACTGGAATTGTGATACAGTGAATTATAAGTTAAATAATCTATCTGTAAACAATTGTTGGAAAAATGACTTGTGTTATGCACAAAGTAGATGTCCTAACCGACTTGCCAAAACTATAGTTTGTTAACAAGAAATTTGTGGAGTTGTTGAAAAACGAGTTTTAATGACTCCAACCTAAGTGTATGTAAACTTACGCTGTTACTCCTCACAGTTCCAGACAGGGCAGGTCACAGGGAAGATTGGAAACAACAACCATCAGCAGGGATATAGACAGCCACAAGCCCGGGACAATCCGCGGGCCCAGCCACAATGGTTCAAGCCCTCAAGAAAACCCTGCTAACTCAAAAGTTAGCTACTAAGAAACTTTTCAATACAATTTCTAAAGAACAAACTTTCCAAAACAACAAACTGAGCTCTCCCTCGTTCCGCGTTTGAAATGTCTTTATTCCTTTGGAACTTTTGTGAGTGTTATGTTTACTGTTATTTTTTTTAACGTTTATTTCACTTTTGGTTATTATCTATTTCACTTGCTTTGGCAATGTAAACATATGTTTCCCATGCCAATAATACCCTTTGAATTGAATTGAATTGAGAGAGAGAGAGAGAGAGAGAGAGAGAGAGAGAGAGAGAGAGAGAGAGAGAGAGAGAGAGAGAGAGAGAGAGAGAGAGAGAGAGAGAGGGAAGACGAGAGCGTGAGATCCCTCGCGCTCTGCTGCTCCGCGCCGCTCTCGCCTGCAGCCTCTCTCGAGGGCTCTCTCGCTGTGCCATAACCTATCCCTTAGTCGGAGAGAGATGAGCTCGAAAATACAATTTTCCAGAAAGAAATCAACCATACATAAGACCCTTAACTGGAAACCTATTTAACATTTTCCCCCATGCAAGCCTCTCTCTATCCTCCATCCCCCCTTCCTCTCTATCTCTTTGCTGGAGCAAGCACAGGCAGGGCTGTGTTGGCCTGGGTTCTGCATGTCTAAATCAACCATAGACAAGCCTGATCACTGTTCCCTCTCACTGTACCTCTGGATGGTAGGGGGGGAGAGGGAGAGGTGGAGGGTAAGAAGAGAGGGAGAGTTGAGGGGATGGAGGGCAGCTTTGGAGAGGTAGGGGGTGGCAAGGGGGCCCAGCCTAGAAGGGAAGGAGAGGGAGGAGGGTAAGGGAGGGGAGGAAGGGAGAGGAAGGGAGGGAGAGGGAGGGAGGGAGAGGGAGCGGAATGGAGGGAGGGAGGGAGGGAGGGAGGGAGGGAGGGAGAGGGAGCGGAATGGAGGGAGGGAGGGAGGGAGGGAGGGAGGGAGGGAGGGAGGGAGATGGAGGGAGGGTACATACGTTTCCTGGGTCAACCCACCACAGAACCCTGCCGTCTGTCTGCCCAACAAGATTACTCTCACTACCAACCTCTCACGGGTGAGGGGAGAGGGAGGGATGGGGTGATGAGGTGAAACTGAATATTGTTCTTTTTTTCTATTCAAGACAGAGTATGCACTGGAGGTTGAGTATGAGAATACTAGCTATGTTACTAGGGTTAGTGTTAGTTGAACCATTTGTTGAATATCTATGAACCACCTGTAATGGAACTGACCAAATAAAGTGTTAACCTTTACATAAAGAAGTTTTAAAAATTACAATTTCAGTGCTGTATATAAATGGAACAGAGAAAAAAAAAACAGAAAAGAAAGGAAACCTTATGAGCAAAATACATAAACAATACGTATTTTCAACGTCTTGTGCTCACTGGGAAGCAGTATTAAAGGAGCTGACCTGTGCTGTTGTTCTTCTTCTTGTTGTTCTTGAGGCTGCGGCGGCTGCTGCTGCTGGTGGCTGAGCTGTGTTCACTCAGAGAGTCCTGGGCAGAGGAGGTGCTTCCTGTGGCCTCGCTGTCCCTCAACATGCTCTCATAGCCACTGCTGCCCCCGCTGTGATAGAACAGGGCTGTCTTCCCCATGGCCGGGGGCAGCTCTCCACTCAGAACACTGCTGTTGTCACTGGCATGACCGCTGCTGCAGCGATGCGGCCGCCTGGGCGCTGTGATCTTACTGTAGGGAGACGGGAGGGTGTGGACCACCAAGGGTCTCTCCTCTCCCTGTACCCCGCCACCAACTCCACCCCCTCCAGCACCCCTCTCCTCCCCAGCCTCTGAGCCTCCTCCTCGGTTGTGACCAGCGGATCGAGAGCCTCCGCTGCCCTGGAGCAGCTCGGAGATGCGTCCGTTGACGGCTCTCAGAGGCAGCTTGGCGGCCAGGCCCCCCACTCGGTTGCGACTCAGAGACTGGGTGGACCAGGAGCCAGAGCTGGGTGCCTGGTTCTGGCCCTGGCTGGAGGTCTGACTCTGGGACTGGGACTGGGGATGGGGCTGGGGCTTGCCGTTGGGAGGCAGGCTGGAGCTGCGGTTGACAGACTGGGGCAGAGACTTGTTGGAGAAGCTGAGTGTCTTGGTGCTGGAGGCCGACAGGCTCCGGGCCTTAGGGCTGGCCATCAGGAGCTTGCTGACCGCTGAGATCTTGGACTGGCTCGACTTGGGTGACTGGGGAGCGCTGCTAGATCTGTTTCCGTTAGGGGAGGAGGATGACAATGAGCCGCCGCGTCCGGTACGTGGCATGGTGCACTCCCCCCTCCCCCCTCCGGCTGCCCCCTTCCAGCCCAGGGAGCTGAGGGCTTCCCCACTCTCCGGAGAGAGACAGTCGTAGTAGGGGCCGTGAGAGCTGTGACCTCCATCGGACCGACCCAGAGAGTTGGTTCTGTTAGCCAGTTGCTCTAGTTTAGCACCGAACAACCTGCTGCTCTCCACATTGCACCCCTTCTGTTTCCCTCCACCTCCTCCAAGCATGCCCAGGTCCTCCGGGGTGCTCCCCAAGAAGGAGAGGCCATGGCTGGCTGCGTGCAGGGGGCAGAGGGGGCCTCCTGCCCGGTTCTTCTGGTCCAGACTGGACTTGCGTACTGGTGGCAGCGGTGGGATCCCTTTCTGGCGGGAAAACAGGCCTTGTTTCCCAGAATACCCCCTTCGGTCCAGGGTCGCCCTAGGACTACAGGGGGTGGAGGAGGTGACCCCCAGGCCTCGGTACTCCCCCCCTCCTCCGTTAGCGTCGCAGCGGAGTGGGTCCTCGTCCAGGCCGTCGTGGCGGTTGAGCCGGTGCCAGCCGCGGGGCAGACTGGCAGTGTGCAGGATGTCGGCAGAGTAGACAGGAGTCACAAGACACTCCCCAGAACTGACCAGCATCATCTCAGAGCCGCCCACTACCCTCTTACAGGAGTCTGGAGAGGAGATGGCTTCACCGCTGCTGGAGCTGCGACGGTCCCCTCCATAGCCACTGTCCACCCTGCTCGCCCTATCGCCCTGGGGCCAGGCCTGGCTGCTCTTAGCTGGGTCTGTCTTGACTGGTGGCTCCACCACCCTCTTCTCTGGCTTCACCTCACACACCAGCTCCTTGGGTCTCACGTCCACCCTGTCTCTCTTCATCCAGGGGTCATCAAAGCTGAGCTCACTGGACATGGAGGCCAGGACCAGGGCTGGGGCTGGGGCAGGCTTGGGTGGGTCCTTGGGCAGCAAGTGAGTCTTGGTAAGGGAGGAAAGTATGACCATGGGTTTGACGGCCACACAGGGGTGGACTGTAATGTTGGTCTTGAAGGGGAGGAAGTTGCTGGAGGCCCCCAGGGTCTGCATGTTGGAGAGGGTGATGGTGGTCTTACCCAGGGAGGGGGGCAGTCTCTTCAGCCTCTCTTTAGTCTCCCTCCCTTTCTCATCTCCAGACAATGCTACTTCACTCTCAGGAGTCTTCCTTCCTCCAGAACCCAGGGATGCCTCGTCCTGCTCCTCTCCCCCACAGAGAGGGACCTGTGTGGGGTCTGGTTCGGCCAGAGCCTCCCCGTGTCCATGGGACTGGCTGAAGCTGTGCAGAGACTGATCTCCGTCGCTCCCAGCACTCAGGTCACTTAGCCACGATGAGATGGATGACCGTCGGCTAGGCACCGCCGCCATCGCCTCTCCTTCCACGTGAAGCTTTGCCATGCTGACCTCCGCCATGGCGATCACTCCGGCGACGGAGGCGGTTGTCATGGTGATCACCCTGGTGGTCGTAGCAACGACAGTAGTGTTGTTTCCATAGCGCTCCAGGTCCTCGCTGATGCTGCTGATGATGGAGACAGGGCGGGACCCCGAGGCCAGGGTGGTGACGGAACAGTCGCTGCTGAAGCTACTGATGCTGGTGGGACGGCCGCCACTCTCCAGCAGGCCCCGGACCTCGAGCCCCTCCTTACACCCAAGGGTGAATACCAGCTCGTCTTCCCCCAGAGAGCGAGGGTCGGCTGGGATGGAGGAGTGGTTGAGGGCTGGAGCTGGGGCTATGGGAGGTAGCGAGAGATGGGAAGAAGAAAGAGAGAGAACAGACAAGGAAAGGAGAGCAGGGAAAAATTGAGAAAACTTAAGGAAACCTGTAATTATTTGTTATTTTTCTATTTTTCTGATTTTCTGTTTTTTTTTACTTATCTATTTCTTACTTAACACTAATTTTTACTTAAAACTGCATTGTTGGTTAAGGGCTTGTAAGTAAGCATTTCACTGTAAGGTCTACACCTGTTGTATTCGGTGCATGTGACAAATACAATTTGATTTGATTTGATCATACGTAAAAACCTTCTTCAAAAAACTATTGTAACAGTCACAGTAACAGAACAAAGAGCAACACATACCATCCCTGCGTCCATCCAGAGGAATCTGAGGTACATCCTCATCACACAGCGTCTCAGCCGACCCCAGGCTAGCAGACAAGGAGTTGGTTCGTTTGAGGACCCGGGGACTCATCCTCACAGGGGAGGTCCTGGACAGGGACACCGGCTGCAGCAGGGACTCTGTAGAGGACCTCCCACTGTCTGCCAGGCTGTCTGCAGTAGACAGACTCTGGCAGGACAAAGGGGGCGTTCCCGGCATCACACCCTTCTGGGTGTAGACCTGGATAATAATCATAATCATATATTGGATTATATAGTGCTTTTCAATGACCCAAAGATGCTTTACAGTGATGCAGTACATTTTCATGGAAATGCATTTTATGAGGTCAGTGTTAAAACTCAACACAATAATTGTATAAATACAACCAAAGACAGTAGAGGAGGTGTCAAAGCCAGATGGTGTACCTTGCAGCGCTGTGAGGGTGAGGAGGGAGGTCTGTAGTCAGAGGTCTTGGTAAGAGAGGCGATGCCCAGCCGAGGAGAGCCCAGGGGGCGTGGCTTCCCATCACTGCTACTGCCGGCGCTCAGAGACTCACGACTGTCAATCAAATAAAAAGGAATAGAAATAGAAAAGGAAATAGAAGCTATTAAGAACAAACATACCTTCAAGACACATAGAAATTATAAGTCAGTTGATAAAACTATACAAACTAATGTAGGTTTTGTGTTGTGTTTCGTGTGGATCCCAGAGAGAGTAGCTGTTGCAGTGTCACTGTAATAATGGAGATCCAAACAAACAAACAAATAGTTCTTACCTGTCATGGAGGCTGGCACTCTTGTCCCTCTGTAGAGGGTTGGTGTTGGTGTGTCCTGCTCCACTGCTACCAGTCACACTGCGGCTGCCGGTCAGGCTCAGACTCTCTATCATGGTCTGGGCCAGTTCTGCCTCCTCCACCACCTCCCTGATCTCCTGGAGCTGCTGGTCGTTGGACATCCTCCTGGGGGGCTCTACCTCCTCCACCTCCACCCCTTCCTTACGCCCCGTCTCAGACCCCGGGGGAACCAGGGTGTCGGGCTTAGCCCCCCTGTTAACCGGCACCTCCTCGAAAGGGAACTTGGCCACCTCCTCGCTCCAGTCGATACACTCCAGACGCTCCTGCAGCTCAGCGAAGGTGTTGCACTTCAGGCATTCTGCCCCTTCCTCTGGCACGGGGGGCAGGGGCTGACCCAGGGGCTGGAGGAGGGGGAGCGGGGACTGGTTGAGGATGGTGAGGTGCTCGGTAGGCTGGGTAGGGAGTTGGGTGTGTGTCTGTATAGGGACAGGCTGAGGCTGGGCCCGGGGGAGTACTGTCTGCTGCTGCTGTTGTAGAGGTGGCGTAGTCGGCACGACGCCAGACTCGGCTTTGCTCTTCAGCAGAGCAGGGATGATGGGGACGAATTCTGGCGGGCCCTCATTGTCAGTCAGCTCGCGGTCTGAGATGGCGCCCCCATTGGGGCCCACATAGATGACGGTGTCGCAGGACTGCTCGCTGCTGGAGTAGTTGTCTGGGTCGCTGGAGAGGTGCAGCAGAGGCAGGTCTGAGTCTGCAGAGCTACGGGAGTGGAACGGTCTCAGGTGAGTGGGGCGACGCATTCCCCCCTCCTCACACGAACTCTCACCCCCTGACGAACTGGACGTGTATTGCTGAAAGAGAGAGGGGGATGTGAAAATGGATGAGAAAAAAAAAACACTTGTTTAAATAAACCAATTAGAATCTACATTTAATTGACCTATCATTGTAATAGTGTCATCAAGTTACATCAATACTGAAAGTAAACTTCTTTACTGAAATATCAATATGGACATATAGAAGTTGAGCCCCTGAAAAAGAACTGTGAAATTTATGAGCAATGTAATGTACTGATTGATTGAATGATTGATTGAATTAATGATTGATTGAATGACTGAATGATTGAACGATTGAATGATTGATTGAATAATTGATTGAATGATTGATTGAATGAAAGATTGATTAATTGATCATATATGTACCATGCTGACTTTGGTCTTCTTCTTCTTCATGCGGAGGACGCGTGAGGCAATCTGGATGGTGGAGAGCGTGTCAGAGAAGTTGCTAGGCGACGAGGAGATGTGAGCGATCATGGTAGTCCGGCAGTTCATGTTGCCCAGCGACTCTCTCAGTAGCATGGACAGCTTACTGTCCCTGGAACACACACACACGTTACATAACACACACACACACACACAAACACAGGCATAAGCACACATACTGTACGTACAGGCACACGCTCACACTCACACACACAGGCACATGTGCATTGGACACACACACACACACACACACACACACACACACACACACACACACACACACACAGGTCTGCAGGATACATCTATCATACTGCTAAAATCACTGTTCCCCTCCATGGTTCTACCCATGATGTTTTAACAAGGTGGTGCTGCTGGGTAAACATTTATAATAAATAAATATGTATTTCATGAACCAACACTTGGCTTTTCCCCCACTTACTAGCTCTGACTTTGCAGATACAGTGCCGTCAGAAAGTATTCACACCCCTTGACTCTTTCCAGAATTTGTTGTGTTACAGCCTGAATTTAAGATGGATTAAATTTAGATATTTTGTCACTGGCCTACACACAATACTCCATAATGTCAGAGTGGAATTTTTACAAATTAATTAAAAATGAAAAGCTGAAATGTCTTGAGTCAAGCCTAAATAAGTTCAGGAGTAAAAATGTGCTTAACAACTCACATAATACGTTGCATGGACTGTGTGCAATAATAGTGTTTAACATGAACGTGGTCCTCTGTAGCTCAGCTGGTAGAGCACGGCGCTTGTAACGCCAAGGTAGTGGGTTCGATCCCCGGGACCACCCATACACAAAAATGTATGCACGCATGACTGTAAGTCGCTTTGGATAAAAGCGTCTGCTAACTGGCACATTATTATTATTATTATGAATGACTAGCTCATCTCTGTAACCCACAGATACAATTATTGGTAAGGTCTAGCAGTCGAGCAGTGAACTTCAAACACAGATTCAACCAGACCAGGGAGGTTTTCCAATGCCTCACAAAGAAGGGCACCGATTGGTAGATGGGTTAAAATAAAATAAAAAGCAGACATTGAATATCCCTTTGAGCATGGTGAAGTTATTAAGTTTAACTTCGGATGGTGTATCAATACACCCAGTCACTGCAAAGATACAGGTGACCTTCCTAACTCAGTTGTCAGAGAGGAAGGAAACCGCTCAGTGATTTCACCATGAGGCCAATGGTGACTTTAAAACAGTTACAGGGTTTAATGGCTGTGATAGGAGAAAACTGAGGATGGATCAACAACATTGTCGTTACTCTACAATACTAACCTAATTGACAGAGTGAAAAGAAGGAAGCCTCTACAGAATACAAATATTCCAAAACATACATCCTGTTTGCAACAAGGCACTAAAGAAAAACTGCAAAAAATGTGGCAAAGCAATTTACTTAAGTGTTATATTTGGGGCAAATCCAAAACAACACATTACTGAGTACCACTCTCCATATTTTCAAGCATAGTGGTGGCTGCATCATGTTATGGGTATGCTTTTAATCAATAAGGACTGGGGAGTTTATCAGCATAAAAAATAAACGGAATGGAGCTAAGCACAGGCAAAGTCCTAGAGGAAAACCTGGTTCACTAGGAGATAAATTCACCTTTCAGCATGGCAATAACCTAAAACACAAGGCCAAATCTACACTGGAGTTGCTTACCAAGAAGGCAGTGAATGTTCCTGAGTGGCCGAGTTACAGTTTAGACTTAAATCTACTTGTAAATCTATGGCAAGACCTGAAAATGGTTGTCTAGCAATGATCAACAACCAATTTGACAGAACTTGAAGAATTTTGAAACGAATAATGGGCAAATGTTGCACAATCCAGGTGTGGAAAGCTCTTAGAGACTTAACCAGAAAGACACAATGTGATATTTCTGTATTACATTTTCAATACATTTGTAAACATTTCAAAAAAGATGTTTTCTCTTTCTAATTATAGGGTATTGTGTGTAGCTGAGAGGAAAAACATCAATTTAATCCATTTTGAATTCAGGCTGTAACACAACAAAATGTGGAATAAGTCAAGGGGTATGAATACTTTTTGAAGGCACTGTAGCTACTTTATTGAGGAAAAATGTACTTGTACTATGACTGTGATATGTGGTTGTCCCACCTAGCTATCTTAAGATGACCTCCAGATCTGAGCATTACAGATGGGACAGGAGCTGCCTGTAGGACTGTGTGTTTATTTAAAGCTCTCCCTGTCCTGTGTTTGGCATATGGTTAATTGTCTCTCTCTGTGTGTGTGTGTGTGTGTGTGTATACGTGTTAACTACTGTGAGCTGTTTGGGACCCTCAGGGCTGAATGAAGCTCGGGCTCCTCTGTGGCGCAATACCTCATGCTGCTGTCCTCCTTTTATAGAAACACAGCCCCCAGCCAGCCATCCAGCCCCCACCCCCACCCTTGCTTTCTCTGTAGCTAGGTTTCCATCCAAATGGCGACAGATATGAATATTCTAAAATCTGCATCAATAAAATATGCGCATTTTCCCACCAGAGATGTGTTTCCATCAAATTGACTTGTTGCGGATAAAAGTATTTGCGTGATGACGTAGTGCACATAAACATTACTTGTGCGGTTAAATTCCTGTGTACCGAATAAAACAAACAAGTTAAATGGGTTTCCATCGCATTTTCAACTCTACTGATGGTTTTCTCACAAAAAAATTTGCGTTATACTGTATATGCGCCCACTCTGGTATTGGCTCTAGCCAACAGCTCGCAGATACAGTGCAGGTCTAGCCTACTACATGATGAGATTATTTTGGATGAAAGAGCGAGATTATTTTTATTTGTCAAATGGCAACCAAGCATCGATCATCATATCACCAGAATAAGACCCTCGATATTTATTGGAAAGGAGCATCAAGCTCATCACCGTGCACTTTCACCACCCTGTGAAGTTCATCATAAACTGCATGCTTTCCAGAGTCGTAGTGGGAGGACCACACAACATGTCATCACGTGACTCCAAGTTTACTTCAGTAGGATGATTATTATATAAATATTTGTGCATAAAAGCATTTCCACTGCCATTTCTTGAATTAATACATTTTACCAACACAAAGATCCCACCTTTTCTAGCGTATTTTGTTTTGTCGACATTGTTTTGTTTCCATCAGGCCTGTCATGACATTTTGTATCTGACATGTGCTTTACTCGCATAAAAAGGTTGATGAATACCTGTTTACTGCCCCAGGTCTCTCTCTCTCTCTCCTTCTCTCTCTCCTTCTCTCTCTCTCTCTCTCTCTCTCTCTCTCTCTCTCTCTCTCTCTCTCTCTCTCTCTGTTTCTCTCTGTCTCCCACCCACTCTCTCTTTCGCTCTCTCTCCCTCTCTCTCCCTCCGTCTCTCTGTGAGTCATGTCATTAGTCTTCGTCACATAAGCGTTGATAATTTCATCTTCCTCATCTGACATCTCAATCATCTCTTAATTGATCTCATGAAGGAGGGTAGAAAGGATAGAAATGAGGGAAAATTGAAAAGAAAGAGGAAAAAAGAGATTGGAGCTGCGAGTGTTTAAGTCTAATTAAATTAAGCAGACAATCAGTGATTTGTGCAGAACAGGTTTTATATTAATTTATGGTGCATTTCAGTGAACTGCAAACTTACATTACACTCCCTGCAAATGGCCCCAAACTATAATGATATCTGTGTGTGTATGTGTGTGTGAGAGAGAGAGTGTGTGAGAGAGAGTGAGAAAGAATGAGAGAGAGCACATTCCTACGCATGCATGTATATCAAATCAAATCAAATCAAATTGTATTTGTCACATGCGCCGAATACAACAGGTGTAGACCTTACAGTGAAATGCTTACTTACAAGCCCTTAACCAACAATGCAGTTTTAAGAAAAATTATTATAAAAAAAATCACTAAAGAATACAATATAAAATAATATGAAATAAAAGTAACAAATAATTAAAGAGCAGCAGTAAAAATAACTATAGCGAGGCTATATACAGGGGGTACCGGTACCGAGTCAATGTGCGGGGGCAACGGTTAGTCGAGGTAATTGGGGTAATATGTACATGTAGGTAGAGTTATTAAAGTGACTATGCATAGATAATAAACAGAGAGTAGCAGCAGTGTAAAAGAGGGGTGGGGGGGGGGGGGAAATGCAAATAGTCTGGGTAGCCATTTGATTAGATGTTCAGGAGTCTTATGGCTTGGGGGTAGAAGCTGTTTAGAAGCCTCTTGGACCTAGACTTGGCGCTCCGGTACCGCTTGCCGTGCAGTAGCAGAGAGAACAGTCTATCTTACCTGTCACCCTAGACCCACTACAATTTGCTTACCGCCCCAATAGATCCACAGACAATGCAATCGCCATCACACTGCACACTGCCCTATCTCATCCGGACAAGAGGAATACCTATGTAAGAATGCTGTTCTTTGACTATAGCTCAGCATTCAACACCATAGTACCCTCCAAGCTCATCATTAAGCTTGAGGGTCTGAACCCCACCCTGTGCAACTGGGTCCTGGACTTCCTGACGGGCCGCCCCCAGGTGGTGAAGGTAGGAAACAACATCTCCACTTCGCTGATCCTCAACACTGGGGCCCCACAAGGGTGCGTGCTCAGCCCCCTCCTGTACTCCCTGTTCTCCCATGACTGCGTGGCCAAGCACGCCTCCAACTCAATCATCAACTTTGCAGACGACACAACACTAGTAGGCTTGATTAACAACAATGACGAGACCGCCTACAGGGAGGAGGTGAGGGCTCTGGGAGTGTGGTGCCAGGAAAATAACCTCTCACTCAACGTTAACAAAACATAGGAGATGATCGTGGACTTCAGGAAACAGCAGAGGTTGCACCCCCCTATCCACATTGACGGGACCGCAGTGGAGAAGGTGGAAAGCTTCAAGTTCCTTGGCGTACACATCACTGACAAACTGAAATGGTCCACCCACGCAGACAGTGTGGTGAAGAATGAAAAATATATGCACTCACTAACTGTAAGTCGCTTTGGATAAGAGCGTCTGCTAAATGACTAAAAATGTAAAAATTGTAAGAAGGCTTGGCAC